AAGAATGGGTGGCAGGCCCCGACGCCTTATGGTTGGCCCGGAAGGGCATGAGCTACTATGAAGGTGGTGAATACTTCACCCAGGCCAACATCTACAGAAAGCTTGCCCGGCACTACGGCATCGATCCAAAGGATTTCAAACCCGAAGTGTACGGCCTCCCTCCCCTCCAGCCAGACGTCAGGATTCCTCTTCTCGAGGGTGAAGAAAGGGAGTTGTTGGAGGACTCTGAGTTGGCTGGATGTGATGACGATGAAGAGCCCGAAGACGACGCAGCCTCTAAGCCGAAGGAAGACGTAGTTGAAGAAGCCCAAACTTAGAAATTCTTGTAAGTATAACTTTGTAATAGTCTGTAGGCCTTTAGCTTTGGCCATGTATTGTAAACCAAACATCTTTTGTACTTTGAAATATTTTTGCTGATGAACGAATGCATTTGTTTGTTTCTTAAGCCTTCGTGTTGTTGATGCCTTCGAGCTATTTGTTGAATGAATGCCTTCGTCCATACATGCCTTCTTCCTTTGAATTTGAATGCATGCCTTCGTCCCTTAGCCTTTGTGTATGAATGCATGGTTTTGTCTTTCTTAAAGAATGTCTGGGGGCAGAGCATTTGTGGACTTAGAAAATTTTCAAATAGGACATACCAAGTGCCCCCAGTCATATGCCCTCGGAGTTGTTGTTTGAATACCTCCCCCTTCTAGTGTTTTTGTGTATGCTTTCTTCCATTCGTATGGATGCCTTCTTCCCGAGGGACCAAAATTTTTGGACATAGAAAATTTGACAAGTATTTGCAGTTCTTTTGGGGATAAGCCCTCCGATGACTCCCGCTTGGCTGAGGGGTTCCCTTCGTGTACTTAGGAAGTTTCTAAGACGGTCCCCATAGATGTCAAGGCTGGCCCTCGGGAGAAGCGGGCCCAATAATTCCCTTGTTTCCATACCACTCGCCACGCGCAGCTAGTAACCCATGCTGAATAGTATGACGGTGCTTCCGGCTTGCAGTGATACCTCCAGGGGCTTGATAGTTGTGGACTTAGAAAATTTCCTAAGTTAGAAGCTTGAGTGTACCCGGGAGCCCTCGATACAAACAAGGAAACACATGAGTCTTCACACAAACAAGCATTTATGCTAGACTCTAGCTTGTATATAAGGAAAATTTGGTCACAGCCTTCGGTTGTGGGGTAGAATTGCCAGAGGCCTCATGTATATGGACTTAGGATTTTTCCAAGGAAAATAGCCGCCATGCCTTCGGTACGTAGGGCCAGTTGAGTGACATAATGATCAGTATAGCCGAGGGGTGTCCACTTTGTGGTAAGCCCTCGGATGTGGTGGGCCTAGAGAGCCTCCCGAAGTAGTGAACCTCCTTGCTGTGGCCTTAGGAAATTCTTGAGATTGTTCACCGATCCTTATTGCACCCAGGGAATGCCTCCGGTTGTTCCTATCGAGATTGATTTGAACTTAGAGAACTTTCCCTTCGCTGTAAATTAGGACCTTGATCCCTTCGAGCAAGTGACTTTGATGTGGGGAGTCGTCCAATCTTTGAACAAGGAGCCTTCGGGGAAATAATCTTGTGGCATTGTTCTTGTAGAAGAGCCTCCGGGAGCATAATATCTAGGGAGTTCCTTCCCCCTACACATTCTCTTTCTCTCTGTTTTTTTAAACGTTGTAGGAGGGGCATCAAGAAACTTGGTTTCTAGGAAAGGCTTGGCCTATATGGGAGGCAACAGAATAAACCGTTGGCTCCCCCTTCGGGATTGACCTTCCGAGATCCTGAAGGGTTTGAGGTTCGTTTCCTCGGCCCGAGACATCGTCTGTTGCCTGCTTCCCTTTGGGTGATAGCGCGGAAAGCGCCTCGGTTTTGAAAGTCGTCCCCTCAGTCCGAGACATGGTCTGTTGCCTGCTTCCCCTTGGGGGATAGCGAGGGGAGTGTTTCGTTTATGAAAGTCGAATCCTGGGCCCGGGACATGGTCCGTTGCCTGCCTCCCCTTGGGGGATGGCGTGGAAAGCGTTTCAGGTAAGAGTTTTATTTGTGTGTGGAGCACAAATAGCCGGGGGCACTTGGTACCTGCCGGGGCCGAGGGGTATTGTACCTCCCGTTTTTTTGTATGTATGTATGAGTATGAATTAAACAATGTATGCATGGGGGCGCCCTCTAGGGGAACAGCTTACATAAAAACACTTGGTGTTTTTAAGAGTGGTGGGTGTATCCCGCACTCTTGGTACTTGATACCTTGATTGATGATGTTATATTTTATTCACCCCCCATGAGAGGAAGGGGCCTTGGGCCGTTGATCACTCATATAGGTTAGTGAAGAGGGATTGGGCACTCATATGTCTTCCGTACTTGGTACTTCACGTTTGAACACGTTTTTTTCTTCTGAAGAATAGGGGTCCTTGGGCCGTTTGATGAAATACATTGATGATGAGGGCTCGGCCGCTCATATGTCATTGATAGAATTTGACTAGGTGATGTACATTCCAATGTCTAGGGACTTCGGTTCCATTGGGGCATCTCAGTTTGTAGGTTCCCGGTTTGATGACGGTTGTGACGATGTAGGGGCCTTCAAATTTGGGTGCCATTTTACCCCCTTCGGTGGGTTGACTGGCCTCCCTTCGTCAGAGGACGTAGTCCCCCACTTGAAACTCCCGGGAGCGTACCTTGGGCTCCTTTGAGCTTGGGCTGCTATGTTTTGGGCCTCTTGTGCTTCTTGGGCTTGTTGGGCCTGTGCTAGAGTAGTAGGAGTCCGTGGACCGGGGGTTCCCGGGCCATATACTTCATCACTATTTAAATTAAATCTAAAAGGAAATAAAAGTTAGAAAAGTAAATGTTGGTGGTACAAATGTTGTAAATTTTACAATTTTATTCAAATTAATCATGTAAAAAAATATAAATGTATCGTCAAACATCTTTCCAAACAGGTAGAGTATAAACTATAACAAATGCAAATATGTCGTTTTAGCTAATTTGTCATATGAATGTATGAAAATTGTAGAAGTTAAATCGGTGTATGCTAAACATATGTTTTTCATATCTAAATCATTTATTTATATCATAAAGATGAAGAATGAAGATAAATACAAAGTATTTATATTATATCACAAAATTGTTTGGTGTTCGATTCGGTTTACGATTTTTTGGTTTTAAACCAAACCAAACCAAATCATTCGGTCTGAGAAAATTGTTACCAAACGGTTTACTTAAATAAACTCAAATCAAACCAAACTTTCAATTTTCGGTTTGATTTGATTAAATCAAACCATTTTGCACAGCCCTAATGTGGAGTATATTAGTAAAAATGTTGAGAGCTTTATAAGAGTGTTCCCTACTATAGCTTTGATGGGTTATAGAAGAGAAAAATCCCCAATGGGACCAAAACATGGGAAAAGTGACACTATAGGACTACTACTTTTCCGCTCGATGCGATAGGACTAAAAGTGGGTTGGAATGCTAAAATTACCCTGCAAAACTCTCTTCTTCAGCTCGTGAACTGCTAACCCTGCAATGAATGTCGACTATAACAAAAGTGTGTTCATTGGTTGTGATGAGTGTTAGCCACTATGAAGGACTTGTTACATGCCCAGTAAACTTCTTCTTCTACTTTTCCTTCTTATCTCCATCTTGTTCTTCAGAACAAACATGGCATTTTTAAAAGAGTGAAAGAGGTGGGAGTGTCTTCCATGTTCTTTACATCTGTAAATGTCATCTTGAGAACAAACGTGACATTTTTAAAAAACAGTAAACAAGAAGAATAAAAAGAGCAAGAAGAGAAGTTGGCGGAGGAAGAGCAGTACGAAGAACACCCGAAACTCTAAAATTGGTGTTGACGATGAATGTACCAATCAAAAGAGGGAAGATGAGGAGAGTCAGAATGTTTTTTCCAACTAAACGAAAAAAAGAAGAGGAAGGTGAAATTTCCAATAAAAAAAATCAACCGCAGAGTGAACAAAATGAGAGAACAGCCTGATAATCTTGGACATTACCGGAGGAGGAGGAGGAGAAGCAGAGGAAGAAGAAGCAGAGGAAGAAGAAGAGGAGGAGGAAGAGGAAGAGGAAGAGGAAGAGGAGGAAGAGGAAGAAGAAGTAGTAGTAGTAGTACCCCGAGGAATCATCTGGCAGACAACACCAACAATAGGTGTTTGTTGGATAGATAAGAGCAAGAGAGAGCGATGATGAAGCAGTGGTTTTATGGACTTTATGGAAATGGCGAAAACTCAGAATAGGAACAAATGACTCCCATAATAGGAATAAAACATACGATAGTATTAATTTCTACATTGGGTTTTTATCTATGTTTTAGACATATTTAGGACAATTTCTTATTTCAAAAGACAATGGATCTTGGAATCCAAAGGGTGAAATATTTTGTATGTAGGAATCAGCCAAAATCAATTAAATTCAATTAAAATTCATCCAGACAAGTAATAGTGGAAATTTATGGAATATTTGAGAACACCATTTTCATAGGTTCCACAAAAATTCAAATCGGAGATATCTAAATTCTGACGAAATTCTAAACTCCATTAAAATCCTTCAGAATCTATACTGGGGACACTCTCTTAGATAGATTTAGTAGGATTTCATTAAATCTCATGTTAAGAATTCTAATTGGAGACACCTCACATGAAGTCTTTCACCCTATGATTGATTAAAAATGTTACTTGTACATGTTGGATCACACGTCAGTTTATACGCTCGAGTGTAGATGTCAATGCACAAATAATTAATTTCAACCCCGAAAAAAATGATAAAACATTATTATTTTTGAGTAATAAGCGGTCAAAGTTTAACAAGTTTAACTTAAAGGGTCAAATGTGACTTTAATTAAGGGACAAAGGTAGTATTAATCATGTAATATGAAATTGACAAATTGTGTGGATTTTTGGAAGATGACTAAACTTTAATTTTTTCTTAAACACTTAAAAAAAAGTGAAATTGTTTGATACATGTATGACAATATGGCATGATGATACAGTCCCGTTTGAAAATGAAAAGATTTTAGATGGAGCTGAATCGTTTGAATAGGTGTGGGTACTAGTAGGAGTTCGATAAAATATTGGACGGGGACCGTGCCCATCCCTAGGCACTGTCCATGATTGATGTAGCTGGTATTGCATATGCGGGGACGTGGCAACTTTCACATCTGTTGTTCCTCCTCCCTCGCTTCTTCAATCCACACGTCTTCACCTAGACAGCTCATAAACGTCGTGACCGGACCGGCGTGATGGCATCCCCTCTCCATGCCGCCGCCCCACTCAGCAGCACTTACTGCCCCAAACACTCCAGGCGCGAGATGCCTTCGCCTCATTCTTCTTCAAGAGGTACGCCCGCCGCTCTCCTCTCACTGTTCCTATATTCTGTTGCTTGGAGTGAAGACCTGCGCCCTGTTTAATTCAGGCAGAAACCGTAGGGTGAGCAGAATTGTGTGCGATTCCCAGAGGAATCTTCTTCACATGCCTCCTGGGACTCCGGTGAGACCCACGAGCATCATGGTTGTGGGCGCCACCGGAACCCTAGGAAGGCAGATTGTGAGGAGAGCTCTGGATGAGGGCTATGACGTCAGGTGCCTCGTTCGGGCTAGGCCTACTCCTGCTGACTTCCTCCGTCACTGGGGTGCCACTGTTGTCAATGTGAGTGAGCTCTTTACCCTTCATCACTCTCTTTAAGGCACCCATTGTTTTTCCTATTCGGAAGGCTCACCATAATCAAAGTGAAATTACAAAGTCTTGGACAAACTAAAAAAACAATATCGACGGCACTAATTTTTATTTTCCTTAAAAAGAATTGGAAAGAAAATCTAAAACGGAGATTTTTTTTACCACACCAAACCTTCAACGGTTTTCTTCAAGCATGTACTCAAGCACATCCATAAGAGGCAATTACTGTGTTTTGTTTTCAAATTTGGAAAAAACAGTTCATTTCCAAGAAAAAAGGTAATTATAATCTCATGTTATCAATCAATACCATTAATATCATTAAAATTGATATATTTATCACTATTGTCAAGGATAATCTAAGAAAACTAAAAACATTAAATGTTTTTTTATTTAATTTTTTCTAAAATATTAATGAAATAAAGTTTTTGTAAAAAATGTATCTGCAATTACAAAAAACTAAACGGACCTACCAAAACACTTGCTCTGTATTTAGCTCGTATCCAATTTTGGATTTTGGTTCGCTCAGTTACCTAACTATGCGTACCCACCCCTAGATAGACATTTATGTGTGACGAAATTACTCTTCATCTGCACCATCTTGAAGTTAGTTAGAGCAGTGGTTGTTGTGATCAGGCAGACTTGAGCAAACCAGAGACAATACCGGCTACATTGGTTGGGATCCATACAGTTATCGACTGTGCTACTGGCCGTCCTGAGGAGCCCATAAAAACTGTAAGTGGCCCGTGGGTTTTGCACTTGATTCATTCACAAAACATTTTGTAATAAAAAGGAAATCTGGCACCTAAGAGTGGGATGCTAAGTCAAACATTAAGGTAGATTTGGAAGTGCAAAGTCTAACGAATGTGGCTAAAATCTAATGGAAATCACCCACTACAGAGTGCTCTGTGGTATAATGTCATACGCAGTATGAAATGATGGGGTGCAAAAACCAATATTTGCAAGAAAGTATTCCAATTTTGATCCTCTGTCACGCTCCCATGATTGTTAGATCATTTTCACTTTCGGCAATCAACTTCCATTATTTATTTTGATGGTGGAGCATATTTATGGTTTTCTTTAATTGCTAGTAGTTCTTTTGATCACTTAACCTGTTTGTATCCAGGTTGATTTTTTTAAGATACGTAGCTAGAATGATATGAAGTAGCAAAAACATCCATAATCACTTCCCAAGTGAAAACATGAAAGTTGGATATGACTTGATAGTTATGGGGATGAAAAAGTGGAATATTTACTCGCTAGGTATTTCACTGGATACCATTATGATATGAAGCGGGAAGAGCATGGGGCAGGACCGGGATTGGGCCCACTTCCGTGGGCCGGTCACGGGCTGTCCTCATAGTTATTTATTATTTTAAGTTAATGTTATGTTTTGTTTTGGACCTTTTATTAGTAGAATACTTAGTAGAGTTAGTATGGGCCTAATTAGGATTTAATTAATTTAGGCTTGATTAGGATTTCTTGTAGAAGGCTATTTATACCCCTCACTAGGGTTCATTCTTGTTATCTTGGAATAAAAGTTGGTTTAGCCTTTTGGCTCTGGGCAACAGTATTTATTTATCGTTGATTATCTAGGCAACGGTTCATCCCGTTGATTTTATTTTTCTGTTCTTATCAATTGGTCCGACATGCCGGATTCGGTCCCGCCAAGATGACCAGAACTCAGAACAAACGCTTGACAGAGATGGAGAACAAGCAGATCCGAATGGGAGAGGAAGTGGCCCGACTGGGGGCTGAGCAAACCCGGATGGCAATCGAGCAGAATCGGATGAACCAAACGCTCGAAGATTAGGGTGCGAAGCTGGCGGAGATCGCTGCCTCGCTGGCCGCGTTGACTCGGGCGTTGGTGTTGCCTGGTTCGCCGGCCGCCGCCGCAGTTGGAGTCGGCAGTGCCGCGATGACAGTGCCGCACCTCGACAGGGTGCTGCGCAACCCTACTCTGACTTTACTTCCGGCGTTCGATGGGGGAGACCCGATCGGGTGGATCACTGATAAGAACAGAAAAATAACAATCAACGGGGTAACCCGTTGCCCAGAATAATCAACGGCTGGATCCGTTTCCCAGAGCTAAATAGCTAAAACCAATATTATTAATCACTCCTTTGAATAAGCCTAGGCAGGGGTTTATATAACCCTTACATCCAAAACTGAGTAGGAAACTAAATAGAAATAGGAAACCTCTAATTAATAGAAGTCCTAATTAAATCATACTAGGAAACAAAATAAATGAGGAAACAAAATAAATTAGGAAACAAAATAAAAGGAATAATTAAAATTAATTAAATTCCTCGCAGCCAGCCTACGAAGGTGGGCTCAAGCCCGTCCCGCCTTCGGTAAACCCACGGGGGCTTCTTCCCCTCTTCTTCCAAGCCTAGATTCTGCTTCATATCAATTCCATCCCTCTTCGAAAAAACCTTGTCCTCAAGGTTGAAATCCGGAAACCGGCTCATATTTGTCCCCGGGGGCTGCCCCGTATCTTGAGGAAAGCTGCCACTTGATCTTTTCAGCTTGTTCATGAAATACCCCAAGTAATAATCATCGGACAGTTCGGAAACCTGACTGGCCAATTGAACAAAAAGGTTATTATATTCCTCTACGGTTCCCAACTCTTTGACCCCGAACAGCCGTTTGAATCGCCTTTCTTTGAACCGTGAATAAAATCGGGCCACCTGTGCTTGTGTAAATTTCTCCCAGGTCATGCTCGGTTTTTGTGCCTTCAACCAGGTCAACCCGTCCAAGGCAGCTCCTTCCATGGCTACCGTAGCTGCTGTCACTTTCCTCTCAGGTAGGGTTTGATTAATTTCAAACTTTTGCTCAGCCCTAGCTATCCACCTAATCGGTTCTTTTCTGTCAAACATGGGCAGCAACGTTGGAGGAGTCCTGCGCGGAGGTCTATCGTTGTGTGTTGCCGCTACGATGGCGGCACCGATGACTGTGTCTGATGGTGTCTCCGTCGTGATCGATGGCACAAGGGCCTTGGTCAGCGCCGCAAGGGATGCGACGATCTCATCCAGCCGCCTGCCGTTTGCTTCCAGGGTTTGCTTCATCTCTGACAAATGTTCACTGATAGATCTCGTCATTGTGGCGGGATGGGATCCGGCAGGTCGGACCAATTGATAAGAACAGAAAAATAACAATCAACGGGGTAACCCGTCGCCCAGAATAATCAACGGCTGGATCCGTTGCCCAGAGCTAAATAGCTAAAACCAATATTATTAATCACTCCTTTGAATAAGCCTAGGCAGGGGTTTATATAACCCTTACATCCAAAACTGAATAGGAAACTAAATAGAAATAGGAAACCTCTAATTAATAGAAGTCCTAATTAAATCATACTAGGAAACAAAATAAATTAGGAAACAAAATAAATTAGGAAACAAAATAAAAGGAATAATTAAAATTAATTAAATTCCTCGCAGCCAGCTTACGAAGGTGGGCTCAAGCCCGTCCCGCCTTCGGTAAACCCACGGGGGCTTCTTCCCCTCTTCTTCCAAGCCTAGATTCTGCTTCATATCAATCACTCGGGTGGAGCAATAGTTCAAACTACACGAAACCCTACCGGAGAAGGTGGCTGCCGCTGTGGTGGCCATGGAAGGTGGAGCGCTTTACTGGGTAACCTGGCTGAGATCACGCAAACCCGGTATAGGCTGGGAAGATTTCAAACAAGCCCTGGTGGCCAGATTTGATTCCCGATACCAGAGAAACCGGTTTGAACGACTGTCTAGAGTCAAGCAAGCTGGAACTGTGGAGGATTATAACATTCTTTTTGTCCAATTGGCAAACCAAGTCCTTGGTTTGTCCAATGAGCACTATTTGGGATATTATATGAGCGGTCTTAAGGAAACAATTCGAAGCTCGCTTCGATTACTTCGACCAAACAACCTTGAGATGACTATGGAATTAGCTCGCAAAGTGGAGCATAATCTGTCCGTCCAAAGTGGAGAAAGTGGCAGCCTGAATTATCATTCGTCTGGGGTACGTTCTAGCAGCCTTTTAAGGGCAAACACAGGTTCCCCGTTGACTGCTATTGGTGGCAGCTTACAGGGTTCGGAGGGCAGCTTTGCGAAAGATGGTGGACAGCCTCCAGGGACGAAGTCAGGGCAGCCTACGACACGCTCTCAGTTCACTCGACTTCCGCCGAAAGAGTTTGCAGAACTGCGGGCGAAAGGATTATGGTTTAGGTGCAAGAAACCATTTACACCAACACATGACTGTCCCTTTAAGCAGCTGCGGGTAATGATAGCTGAGGAGGATGAAGAGTTGGACCTCAAGCAGCATGAATTCTGTGAAATAACTGGCCAGGAAAGGGTTCCGGAAAGAGAAGAAGGATATTTTCCAGTCTATACTATATCTGGAAATTTCAGTCCCCGATCCGCGAGTTTTCAACCTTGAGGACAAGGTTATTTTAAGGGGGATGGATTGGTATGAAGCGGGAAGAGCATGGGGCGGGACCGGGCTTGGGCCCACTTCCGTGGGCCGGTCATGGGCTGTCCTTATAGCTATTTATTTATTATTTTAAGTTAATGTTATGTTTTGTTTTGGGCCTTTTATTAGTAGAATACTTAGTAGAGTTAGTATGGGCCTAATTAGGATTTAATTAATTTGGGCTTGATTAGGGTGGCTTGTAGAAGGCTATTTATACCCCTCGCCAGGGTTCATTCTTGTTATCTTGGAATAAAAGTTGGTTTAGTCTTTTGGCTCTGGGCAACGGTATTTATTTATCGTTGATTATCTAGGCAACGGTTCACCCCGTTGATTTTATTTTTCTGTTCCTATCACATTACTGGGGGTATTTAGTAATTAAAGGGCTCATTCAAACTATTTAGGTAGACTGGGAAGGAAAAGTTGCTCTAATGCAATGCGCAAAAGCAATGGGCATTCAGAAGTTCATTTTTTTCTCAATCCACAACTGTGACAAGCATCCAGAAGTTCCTCTCATGGAGATCAAGTTCTGCACCGAGAAGTTTCTTCAAGATTCCGGTCTGAACCACATAATTATTCGCCTCTGTGGTTTCATGCAGGTATTCTTGTCGTCCAGTCACATGTCAACAATCACTATATTTTCCTTTTGTAAAGCAATCTTGAGTTAGTGTGGCCAACTTCATGCTCGGCTTATGAACAGAGTTATTCCATGAATTAGTATATTTTTGAAGTGGCTGAAATTGAAGTAAATGATATTTCTATATTTAAATGATTTATTAAGAAAATATATTTTAAATAATATTGTATGAATAGTTCAGCCATTTCACACAAAACTGTAGCAAATGTAGCAGACTTCTCCCTTTTTTATGGGTAGTTCAGCTGTGTAGAACTATATTTTGTTGACAAAATAAAGAAGAAATATACTCCTTTTTATTTATTTGTTCCATCTATTTGCTTTGTTTCCATTTTGCAACTTTTACCTTACCTTTTCATCCCCTATTTCCTATTTTTTCTGTACTAGTTAAGTAGTTATCCTTTTTTTTTTTTTAATGTGTTCACCTGCTTTCCTACTTGTTACACTTTCTCAACACTACTCATTATTCACTAACCCTACCATATGCATCTCAAAACGTGTTAAAACCTTATATCCCTGCAGGAAGAAAAATTTAACAAAACTCAGAACTTTAGTAAAAAAATACCACCATCCCTGTTTTTTCATTATTAACCAATTCAATAGCGGATAAATTAGTGTTTCGTAAATATATTATAAGGTGAAAGAGTAGCTCTGAGGCAGCCATTAAGTTGATGTTGAATGTTTTGCAGGGGTTGATTGGGCAATATGCAGTACCTGTTTTAGAAGAGAAATCTGTCTGGGGAACTGACGCTCCTACACGGATCGCATATATGGACACTCAAGTTAGTTTTTGTCGGTTTGTTCCTCGTCAGGATCAACTTGTATTTTAACAAAGTAGTATGCCCTTCGTTGTGTAGGATATTGCTCGATTGACCTTCATAGCTTTGCGCAATGAGAATATCAATGGAAAGCTTCTAACTTTTGCAGGTCCTCGGGCATGGACGACCCAAGAGGTAAAATTGGTTTCCCTTAAGGTTACAATATTAGATTGTTTTTGTCTTACTTGTTATTTTGTGCAAAATAAAATGCTCAAGACGGTCTCATGGGTCCCACTATGTGGGACCTACAACCTATCTCTTTTCAGTTTGAGACCCATCTCTATCCAGCTATGTCGCACAGAAACATAGGAATGTAAAATGAGGACGCTATCTTTCAATACAAAGCCAAGTCTTTGAAGAGTTTCTGAAGAGCTATGTTGTAATCTAAAAAAAAAGTCTTGGACAAGTTATGTGTTATACATTTAATTAAACCTACAAACTAATTTTAGTTTTGATTAATGATTCATAGCAGTTTTTCCTTGACCGCAAATTTTACAAGAAAATATGTTTGTTGGTTAGACAGAAATATTTTTATTACTAATACTTTTGGGATAAAAAATTTAGAACTAGTCCAATCACTTTTTGCATTGTGTACAGTATTTTTTTTTTGACAGAAGTTAGGTTTTTAGTTTGTAGCACAAAAGTAATAGATCTAAACTGAGCAGCTTGATAGATTGTCTCTACAAAGTTTTACTTTATGGTGTCTATAGCACTTTCTGCCTTTGAACAAGTGTATGTGTATTTTTAACTATACATTACTGTTAAGCTAGTTGCTTAAACCCCTACTATGTACACACATACAGGTGATAACATTGTGCGAGAGGCTGGCTGGGCAAGATGCGAACGTCACCACAGTTCCAGTTTCAGTTTTGCGTTTCACACGCCAACTCACTCGTTTCTTTGAGTGGACAAACGATGCTGCTGACCGGTTGGCATTTTCAGAGGTGTGATCACTTCTTTGTTAAAACTACATTTTTTGTTTGACACATAATAGGTAAACCTAGTTCAGACTCTTCGTATTTATTACCCACCAAAACTCCCTCTTAGCAACTGGGTTAGACATGAGGATCCTGAAATCAGACAAGCACTGAAAGGGGAAAAATTGAAGTTGTATTTGCCACAATAAGTTGAAGCTCAGCCGTAAAAAGGATGACACCCCATCCCTTAGGGCCCCTTGGACCAGTTGAACAACAAGTTATCTAAGAGGGATTTAAATTGAGCTTTGATCGCGAACTCAAGAAAGTGGGTTGCAGTCCAAGTCTTTGCTTGGAATTGAACTCATGATCTCTTCCTCTTCCCATCAGTTGAGCTATGCCCCGGCGAAGCTGAATTCTAATGTCTAGGTCGGGGGTTGTTGTCTTCAGCTAGACTTTGGATTTCTGAGCCTGAAATGTTAACTGATTAAGGTATACCCGTTTGGCCAAAAAAATGATTGAAAAAAAAATATTTAATTAAATGTAAAAAACACAGAAAGAAATTATGCAAGGACAATATCAGATGTTGAAAAATGGAAAATATAGAAAATATGTAACTCTGCATTGAATTGATTGTGTCATTGAACATAAAAGTTCACAAAAAAACTTCACCCCTTCAATGATCAGCTCTGGATTCAATGGGGCTATTGGTACATTAAAGGGTCAATAATGGGCTTAACTGACGTTGAGACAACAATGCTCCCCAAGAGAACAGAAAAACTATTTATGCACTTATGCAAGCACCATGGGCCAAATATGACATCTTTGGTAGGTGAAATTTTCAGGTTTTGACCGGTGATGAGGTTTTTTCTGTTCCAATGTCGGAGACTTACAAGACTCTAGGTGTGGATGCAAAAGACATAGTTACACTGGAGAAATACCTACAGGATTATTTTACAAACATACTCAAGAAGCTAAAGGACCTTAAAGCACAATCAAAGCAGGCTGACATTTACTTCTGAAATTTCTATTTTGAAATAGGGGATCTAAGACGCCCCTAGTAATCCGGTGTAGTAATTGTAAATGATTTTAACCTATTACTTTGAAGCCTTTGACTCGCCAAGTATAAACCATATGTTATCGAGTGAATATTGTTTTGGGATTGTAGTTGCATATATTCTTCAACTTGACCGAGTCATTAAGGATTTATTCAATTGGATCAATTCATATCAGATCAGATTTAAACTAGTGTTTGACTGGGTACGGGCGGACCGGCCTAGGACCGGTACTATTTGAGATCGGACCAGGACCGGTTTCTCGGTACCGGTACCGATCCGGTAACCGGACCGGCTCTTTGGAAGGACCGGCTCGGACAACAATATTTGGGACCGGACTGGCTGGTCTCGGGCCTGGTTCCGGACATCCGGTCCCAATAGTCATTTAAAAAAAAGATGGGGTTGGGATGGCATGTAGGCTATGTAGCCGTTGGGGTGGGGGTTGGGGCGGTTTGTGGGGTGCGGGTAAAAAAAATTATAAACACCCCTATTTCTGAAAAAATTCTACACCTATTCTTCAATTCTCCTTGCCCTCTAATCATCTCCATCTTCATACTCTCCAATTCTCTCTACACAATTCTCTAATCTTATATTTACTTATAATAAAATATATTATATCTATTTATGAGAAATGATCCTGTCCAGCACGTTTTTGTCCGAACGCCGTCCGAACATGGCCATTTGGGGCCCTTCCCGGTGGAATTTTTTGAGCATGTTCCTCATCAAGTCTAGTTTGTCCATACCAAATTTCAGCTCAAAACTCCACCGGGAAGGCATTCAAACATTATTTGAAGTTGACTAGTCAAAATGTACATATAAAAATGCAGCCAACTTTAAAAAATTATTTGAATGCCTTCTCGATCGAATTTTGAGCTGAAATTTGGTATGGACAAACTAGACTTGATGAGGAACATGCTAAAAAAATTTCATCAAAAAATTCCACCGGGAAGGGCCTCAAACGGGGATGTTCGGATAGAGGGTTCTGTCCGAACTTTTCTGATCTATTTATATTAGTTATATACTTATATGAGTCCTTTTCTTGTCCAGCCGGCCTGACGGGAACCGCCGTCCGGCCGAGGGCATTTCGGGCACTTCCCGATGGAATTTGTTGATGAATGTTTTTGAGCATGTTCTTCATGAAGTCTAGTTTATCCATACCAAATTTCAGATCAAAATTCGATCGGGAAAGCATTCAAATAATTTTTTGAAGTTGACTGCGTCAAAGTATACATATAAAAACCAAGTCAACTTCAAAAAATTATTTGAATGCCTTCCCGATCGAATTTTGAGCTGAAATTTGGTATGGATAAACTAGACTTGATGAAGAACATGCCCAAAAAATTTCATCAAACAATTCCACCGGGAAGTGCCCGAAATGCCCTCGGCCGGACGGCGGTTCCCGTCAGACCGGCTGGACATGAAAAGTCCTCTACTTATATTTACATATATTACATAAAAATACTTATTATCTACTTATATTTACATCAACTTATATACTTATTCTTTTTTAGTTTAGGTGACGTCTGGGGGAGGGGTCTGGGGATGCCTAGAGTAATTGGGGCGGAAGTCACTCCATTGACTTTCGAACTCGAGACCCCATTTAAGGGAGACTGGGAGAGTGAGTCGGCGATCAGCTGGGCTGGACCACTTCCTCCAACTTGTATACTTATTATCTATTTATATTTGCATATTATTATATCTACTTATATATATGAAGTACATTTATTAAAGTAATAAAAATAAGTATACTACTCATCTTATAGTAGTATACTTATATATTATATAGGCTAAAGGGTCAAATATGCCCTTGAACTGACTTAAAATGTTTAATTAGCCGCTTATATAAGAGGTTTTGCCCGGCCGTCGCCAATTGGGGTGGTTCCCGGTGAAATTTTTTTATGAATTTTTTTGAGCATCTTTTTCATTAAGTCTAGTTTAGTCATTCCAAATTTCAGCTAAAAATTCAACCGGGAAGGCAGTCAAATGATTTTTTTGAAGGTAACTGTAAAGTTAAACAGCGCAGTACATTTCGGAAAATCATTTGACTGCCTTCCCGGTTGAATTTTTAGCTGAAATTTGGTATGGGTAAAACTAGACTTAATGAAGAAAATGCTCAAAAAAAATTCATCAAAAAATTCCACCGGGAACCGCCCCAATTAGCGATGGCCGGGCAGAACCTTCTATATAAGGGGCTAATTGAACACTTTAAGTCAGTTCAAGGGCCTATTTGACCTTTTAGCCTATTATATACTATTAACATTATATTACATATTAATTACTTTAATTAAACTAACATTAATTTATTAAGTATAGTATATATAGTTTATAGTATGTGCATTTATTTGTCAAAAATATAATTTTATATAATATATATAATATGCACACACAATATAAGAAATATATTTATATTATAAATTATATATATTAAGTATATTATCCTATTAGTTACATTCTCATTTTACATTATTCACATTTTAGTTAATAGTTGCTTTTATATATTAAGTATATTATCCTATTACTTAATAATAGTTGCATTTATATATATTAAGGGTATTATCCTATTAGTTAATAATAGTTTCATTTTAATTGCAATTACAATACTCACATTTTAATTTCATTTACTATACTTGTTACATTATCATATCAGTCATATTTGTTAGATTTTAATATTATTTCTTTACATTTAAAACTTGTTTCAATATTAGTCACATTTAATAATACATACATTATAATATAAAAATTTCTGACATTTGAATTTTAGTTACATTTAAATATTATTCACATTTAAATATTTCTTACATTCTCATTTTAGTTACAATATAATAGTAGTGGCATTTTAGTTGCATTTACTATACTCACACTCACATACTAATTTCATTTACTATACTTGTCACATTATCATATAAAATTTTGTCACATTTGAATAGTAGTTGCATTTAAATATCAGTTGCATTTAAATATTTCCTACATTCTCATATTACATTATACTCTTATTAGTTACATTTTAATATTAGTTGCAATTAATATACCCACATTCTCATATTTAATTATCATATATTAATATTTGTTACATTTTAGTAACTCACATTTTAATTACATTTTAATGTTAAACTCACATTTTAGTATTTATTAAAGTCATATTTTAGTTACATTGTACTCACATTTAAATATTTGTTAGAGTTTAATATTTGTTACATTTTAAGATGTCACAACTTAGACATTTTGTAGATTTGGGTGACCTTCAACGCAACCGAAAGAAAGAGATTGTGAAAGGACATCCTTCTTCGTGAGGCAAATGTAAAGGGCATGTCGGGTCTTCTACTCAAAAGCCGAGATGATTTTGACACGTCTTACAATCGAAGAGATGCGATGTCCGACGACCAACTGGCTCAAATATTTAATTTCCAACAAGAAGACATTTCCGAGATTGAGGAAGAGCTCGAGGATCACGATGACGATGGGGAGCCGGCAATAGTCGAAGAGGAACAAGGCGACGAGAAAACCCCTGACGAGGAGGAGGAAGAAGATGTTGGTCCATCCCAACCAGGTAAAAAATTCAAATATGTTCTTTTTATAAAACATTTTGATAAGAAAAAGAATATGCCGACAATAAGTGGTATGCAACTTGCAAACATTGTAAGCAAGTATTGAGCTTGGGGTGTCGATGGGATACAACGGCGCTCATAGGCATTTGAAGGCCCGATACCCCACAGAGGCGACGAAACTGAAAGGCAAGAGGACACAAATACAAATATCGAGGTTTGCAAATGATCCATCCTTTGGTAATTTTGCTTATAATGAAGCGAAAAATTTAAATCCTTGATTTCGAAACTAGTTGCAAAACTATTAAAAAAGAAGTTATAAGGCTATATTTTTTTGAAAGGATAAATTAAAACTGTTCTTCGCAAACTTTGATGGGCGTGTTAATATTTGAAGTGATATATGGGAGGATGCATATGACATTTGTATTATTTGGGTGTGACAGTATATTATATGAATGATAACTGGGAAATGCATAAACGTGTTATCGCTTTTCGAGAATATAATTACTGACACACTGATGATAATATTTATATGTTTGCTGAACATATTTTAACTGAACACAATTTGAATGATACAGTGTTTGTTGTTGGACTTGATAATGCTAGAAATTAGGGCTGGGCAAATCGGTTTACGGTTCGGTTTTTATCGGGTTTGGTTCGGTTTCTAGTTGTTCGGTTCGGTTTCAAGTTGTTCGATCGGTTTGGCGAAAAATGTATTTCGGTTTGGTTTCGGTTCGGTTCGAGAAATTTTCGGTTTGGTTTGGTTTGATGTTCGGTTTATAAAGTTAAAAAAATAATGTATAGTTTCATATTTTTAAGTCAACATTTACTAATTTGAAATGGTTTATTTTAGGTTAAATCCAAACCAAATAAACTAAAACAAAGCAATAAAATCAAAATAGAGTTTTTTGGTGTTGTGAGTAAAATAGCAATGGTGTACAAGCAATGTGCCAACATAAATAAAAGGAAAAATTGAAAATAATAATCCCAACTATTGCCGGTCCGCTGATAATAATCTCAACTATTGATTATTTTTGTATAATCCCAACTATATGGATCGTCCGCCAATAATGGTCCGTGGTCATATATTGCCTCCTATAAACAGTGAATTTTAAATTGAAATTAAGTGTAAAAATTAAAAGTTGAGATTATTTATAGGGATTACTTGCTATATCACTCCTCATCCACTTTAGAAACTACATGAATTTATTTATATGGACCACTATTGGCGGAAGGTCCCTAAAGTTAGGATTATTCTAAAATAATCGATAATTGGGATTATTATGGGCGGACCACCAATAGTTGGGATTATTCCTATCAATTTTTCCTAAATAAAATATAAGTAGTGATTTATATGTGGTGCAATGAGCAAAATAGCAATGATTTAAATGGTTAATAAAAGTGGGTGAGGGCTTAGGAGTTTGGACAATTATGTTTCACTCCAAATCACCAAGTCACTAAACCTATAACTTCCTTAATGTATACATATAATGGACAAACATATTGCCGTATTTCACTGGTACAACCAAACTTACAATCTCCATACTACACACATATGTGTGTGTTTGTGTGTGTGTGTGTGTCTGTGTGTGTGTTGTTCGGTGTTCGATTCAGTTTACGGTTTTTCCGTTTTAAACCAAACCAAACCAAAGTACCAAACCATTCGATTTGAGCAAATGTTTACCAAACAGTTTACTTAAGTAAACCCCAACCAAACCAAATTAAACCACCAATTTTAATAATATATGAAAGTTTTTTTGAGTTTCTTTAGTTCGGTTCGTTTTTGAGTTTTATCGGTTTCGGTTCGGTTCGGTTTAATACGGTTTGAAAGAAATAGTACCAAATTGCATACGGGTCGGTTTCGGTTCGGTTTAGTTCGGTTTGGTACGGTTCGGTTCGGTTAAACCAAACCGTTATGCCCACCCCTGCTAGAAATAATATTGTTGTTATATCTAAATTGTGTGGTTATTCTACTTTGATAGGTAGGGTTTTTCATCAGCGTTGTGCATGCCATATTCTTAGTTTATGTGTGAAAGATGGTTTAACTGCGATAGGAACTGTGGTGGAGAACGTGAAGTGGGCTGTTAGGCTTATTTGGGATAAGACTCATTTGCTTCCATGATTGATTGAAGGCCCGACATAGAACTCAAAAACTTTGCATCACCCCCGACCGCCACTTCATGGAGAAAACGACAATAGACAATAGACGCTGGCGGAAGTTCTGACGATTAGCATTGATGTTTGGAATTATTCTCAATCCTTAATTGTAATTCAAATTTCAAATAAATCTTCATTTCATTTTTAATGTCTACCAGTTGATGTATAAATTAGGTAATTTAAAATAATAATAAAAACCTGACCGGTCTGTGACCCGATCGTACCAAACCAGGTCGGTACCCAGCTCCACTATATTAGAACTGGGACCAACCGGTTCCGAACCCGAAACTGAATCGGCTGATCCCGGACCGGCCCGAATCCACCCCTAACATAAAGAGGCTAAATTAAAAAAAAAAATCAATCCAATTAAAATATCGACTTTAACCCCTAATGCTCTGTTGGTTTTATACTTTTATGTAATAAAAAGAGTAAAGGGTGAGTTTGGTCCTCGAAGTCCTTATGAGGCGGTTCCTAGTGTAATTTTTTGATAAAAGTTTTTGCGCATCATATTCATTAAGTCTAGTTTACTCATACCAAATTTTAGCTAAGAATTCAATCGGGAAGACATTCAAATGATTTATTGAAGATAATTGCATTTTAACTGCACAGTTATCTTCAAGAATTCATTTGAATGTCTTCCTGACTGAATTTTTGTCTGAAATTTGGTATGAGTGAACTAAACTTAATGAATAAGATGCTCAAAAAAATTCATCAAAAACTTTCACCGAGAACCGCCCCAAATGGCGACGGCCAGATAGAACCTCATATATAAGGACTTATTTGACCTCTTTTATGCAACTTCGAGGACCAAACTGACCTTTTACTTGTAATAAAAATAATAATGATGATGTCAACAACTCAAAGAATGCTAATGCTCCATTAGCTTTATTACTGCCTTTACACTTTTATGTAATACTTCCTTGGCTGATATCTCTCATAAATATTGAACGATGATTTTGATTAGAAAATTACAAATTGTATGCTTTTACCAATTTATGAAAGTACTTTTGATAAAAATGATAATATTTCGTTCCATAAATAATTTCCAATAAAAGTATATAGTTATATTCTGTATAGTTTATCAAAGTTTTAAAAATTGTAAAGTTTTTTGGAACCGAAGTAATAATAATGACAACTATGACATGTGTACAAGTTAGTTGTACACGACATTTTACACGCCACACATATTTCTATGCACAAGTAATCTTTTTTCATTTTGTAAAGTGGAATTGTGTCTCACACCGATAATACGTAGTAATTTTTTGCATGTGTCATGACGTGTACGACCCACATTTCTCAAAGAATTGCTAGCAAGAAGTCAAGAACCACCAAGGATCGTCATCCAACACACATCATCATGGTTCAACAGCCATATTTATATCACACGGCAGATAGAATTGTTTGGATGAAATGCTCAAGCCTTGGTGTTTGACATCAAAGTTTCCTCATTTGCCAAAACAAAAAAAATGTGCAATATCTTCAAAGGGGTTGAGTCATGAAGGTAGCCAGGTAGGTACTAGGTAGTAGTATCTTGTACTGGTAGTGGAATTTTCCTCCATCACATATTGTTCAAGTACAGCTTACAAGTTTTGAACAGTTCGAAAAGAAAAATAAACAAAGGCAGCACGATGCAGGCTCCCTACTCCACTAGGGATCGAAGAGGATTACCAGCATTCATATTCATGTAAGAATAGTATACTCCATGTCTCCATGATTCATGGAGCTAAACTGTCATAGAGGATTGGCTTGTTGTGAAGTACAAAAACTAATCAAGTAATCATGACATCACTTCACAATAATTCACCAACAGGAATGCATTCAAACCTTCAATGAAATAGATGGATGCACTCATTGTTTATCTGCAATCTGCAATAGACAACATTTCAGGTGCCAGTGGTTAGAATAGAAACCGTTAACATATGGCTACGAGAACACATAAATAACACCAACGGCAACATAAGCATGCCGCCATGTTCCGAGTTCATTTAGGGAGGGTTTGATTCAATGTAGTGGAGGGGAGGGATTTTAATGTTATCTCCTTCAGATAGAGTAGAGGGGAGGGAGAGATCCTGATGCTAATTTCTTGGGTACGGGGAGGGAAAATGTTCATAAACAGATTCCCCCTTATATCATGTTATAACAAATTGACGATTTTAACAGATCAAAACAACATCATCTAAGCCTTGGTAAAAAAATAAGAAAGATAAGAAAGATAGGCTGATACTACAACAACAACAACAACTAACTTAGTCCCAAAAAGATTTTGGGGTCACCTAACACGAATGGATACATTATATTGCAGCCAAAAAGAAAACAAAGTCAAAAAGATAAAAAGATAAGGTATAATAAAAAAGATTCCATAAAGACAAAGACAGAGATAAAAAAGGGAGATGTCAAATAGACCCTTGGTCTATTTCCAATCCATCACTAAAACCCTCCTCCTAAAAAAGCATCAAATAAATATGTTTACTATTAAAACACGATCAATCAAGCCATTTTGACCTATTATAGCAAATTATTTTTAAAAAGAATTAGGACTATTGATAAATCTTATAGAAATTCATATAAATTTGAAAAATAATGCAACTTATATATAAAATATTGTATAAATTTAAAAATATATAGATAGTTTAAAAAGTTAAAATAGATAAATAAAAAAAATAAAAAAATGAAAAAATAAAGTAAAAATGTAAAACATATAAAATAAAAAATGTAAAAAAACGTTTTAAATAGATGTAGAATATACAAAAAAAATAAAAAATGAAAAAATATTGACTTTCACATTCTAAAATTTCAAATATTAGACAGTATTTAAATAATTTCAAATATGTCTTCAAATGTTAACAATTTTTTCGAGTTTTTAGTATAAGAAACTTGTTATTAGAGGTCAAAAACTAATTAAATTGATAGAGTGAACAATTCTTTAAAGTAAGCGAGCATATATGATATTTTTTTATATATGGGCTTAAGTGGTGAATTGGAAATAGTAGAAGGGCTTATTTGACTCTTTTCCAAGATAAAAATGATAAGATAAAAAAGAAAAAAAGAATATATAAAAAATAAAAATGATAAAAACATATAAAAAACATAAGAAAAATAAACAAGATATAAGGATACAACAACAACATCCAAGCCATAGTCCCATAAGATTTTGGGAAAAGAAGATATAAGGATAAAAAAATATAAAAAGATAAGGTAAGATAAATAGATAAAAGAACTAAGATAAAGATAAAATAAAGATAAAAAAGATAAAAGGATAAAGAACATGAGAAAGATAAAGAAGATAAAAAGATAAAAAAAAAAAAGATCAATCCCCCACATGAATATTCTCCCTCCACTTTGCTCTCTCCAAAGTTAGATTTTAATGAATCAATAATTATATATAAGGAAAATAACTTTAAATAATACCAAGATTACCAACTATTGTCTATAAACAAATAATAATACATACGGAGTACTTGGAATATGATTTCTAATAATACCAACTATTTGAATGTAGAACAAAACTAACATAGAATCACTTTTCTACAAGAAATCCAATCATTTAATTATTTTTTGAAACGTGTAGTTATAAATTATTTATATAGTATATATTTATAAATCTTCATTTCCAGAAATCCAAACTATTAAGATAATCAAAAGATAATCAAAAGAGAAGAGATGTGCCCGAATGCCTAGAGGGAACAGGTTGACTTTTTATTAAAAAGAGCCCAGTACAGGCCTACACTTTTTTACCCAGGGTTATTTTGGTGAATGATCTTCCACTGAATGTTCAGTGTTAAACATAGTTTCATGTTTATAGGATCTGGACTAAGAATGTTTGGATTAAGCGAACAACCATTAGTTGTTAGTCATAGTTCACATATTTTCCTTCCCTATACTGTGTATGGATGATGTGGGGCGAGACTTAAGAATATCAATCTAATTTTTATGAATGTAGTTTCAAACTATGAGGGGATTTTTTTTATGATGGTAAAGAGTTATTAACTAGAAACTTTCTGACAATTAAATTAGTAAGATGGTGCACTTTTCTTTCCAAAATATAATAAGCGTAGTAACAAGTTTCTTAAACTCCTGGAATACCTTTTTTCTATATTTTAAATTTCAACCAACAAATATAGCTTAAGGCACCATTTATTTAAATAAAACATTCTTCATAGAAACTATTTCTGGGCTTTCGTGTGTTTGGCAAAGGAAAACAATTTGCGCAGGAAGACTTCCTGTTTAAGCACCACGAATTCATTTTCCTCATTTTCCTAAAAATGATTTAAGACTTTCTATATTTCATTTTCGCTGGGTAAACCTTGCATTAATTGTTACTCCCTCTATCCCACTAAGATTGTCCCATTTTACCTTTTCGGGAAGTCCCACTAAGATTGTCCCATACCAAATTAGGTAAAGTTTGTGTGGCTCTAAATCATTCTTACTTTTTCAATTCAATATCAACCACATAAACTCACTTTTCTTAATAACCGTGCCACCTTCCGTCCCAATGTTAGTGGGACGGAGGTAGTATATATATAGATCAATATACATAGATCAACTTAATTTGTACGCAAAACATTTTACAGAAAATTATTTCTGAGAAAAACATTTTACACAACAAGTTATTCTCAAGAAATCAACGGAGCAAAAAAGTGAGTAAATAACTACAAGAAGAGGTGAATTGAAGTAAGCGATACACCAAGGGACCATTCACAATTGCAACCAAATTGCAGTTTTGGTTTTACAACTGTTGAAAATATATGATATAAGTTGTGTAACAAACAAAAAAGTAATGATACATGTATTCTGATGGGCTTAATCATAAAAATATCCACCAAAAAACTAGTAACCACTTTTTGGTTTTCATAGTGTTGTTCTTTATTTTAAGAAAACAGTAAGTAAAAACAATACCAAATGACCCCAAAAGAATCACATCTTAAACATACAGTTTTATCTTAGGATAATTAAAGAATAAAATAACAAAACCTATACCAAGAAACAATCATCATTTACATCATCCGTATAAGTATTTAATAAAATATTTTTTTCAATCAAAGAATACTCCTTCCATCTAAACAGAAAGACCTAGTTGAAAACTTATTTTTAGTCCCAAGAAGAAATTCTATTAGAATCAAATAAGCTATTCTTTCATCAAATTTAATGTTTTTTATAATATAATAATGAAAAAAGTAACTGAAACAAATTAAAAAATATATATACCAAGAAGCAATTAGGCTCACTCCTTTCCAAAAAATTACCTAGTTGACAACTTATAATCGTTCCTAGAAAGGTTTTTTTAACATTTACACGTCCCCCCACATTTTGTAAACTATATTTTTAGAAAGTTTGTATCTCATGTTCCCCGTACGCTTCCGTGCTAGTGTGCTACATAGAAATGGTCTTCTTTTGGATGAGCGAAAATGGAGACAAAATACTGCTCACTTTTTTGACACTTTAAGGGATAAGAAAAAACTAAGGTTTTGGTAGGAATTGTGTACTTAGTTGACTATAAGCCAAACTCAGCAATTACAAACAAAACTTTCTAGGTGTTGGATGGAGCACTAAACCCGTGACTCTGGCACAACAAGTGTAGGATAGATCCGCCACTTTAAATATCTTTATGACAAAGACTTTACCTGGTTAAGAGGATTATCTGGAGATTTCTTCCAAAGCTTCCAAAGCATGTCTTTGTACTGTGTGTGAGTAAGCCCAGGTTTCTCTTCTTTCAGTCTAGGAAGCTCATATTCCTCAAAGGCCTACAATCATTAAGCGTCCAACTATGAGTCTATTAGGAATGTATGAAGAAAGCATATTTCTCGTTGACGCTTGGTTAAACATAATTTGAAGAGATCATATATTCAATACACAGGAAATTTGTTTATGCCTTCAAAGGATATACTTTGGATTATTGACGAATTCGGTATACAATATCCGCGAATTCATTTATAGATTCAATGAAATATAATTCCAATGATAAAAATGAAGAACTAAAATTTCTTAAATTCTTTTAATTTTCAATAAACAAAGTAAATTAATGACCTATACGGCTATACCTTGAAAGAAGCCTTAAGTCTCTTCTCTGGATGTTTATCAACAGGCAAATTTTCAGCGACAGTCATGCGAGCAAGCGCTTCATCCACTGACCTAGCCTCAATGATGGAATCATCACGATTTGTATTCGTAACGAGGACCATCCTTTCATACTCCTCCTCCTCCGCAACACGGCCCTGCCTTCGCTTCTCCTCCTCGGCCCTACGTTGAATCGCCGCCTGCTCCTCTTCCCTTCGTCTCCGGAGTTCAGCTTCGGTCACCTTCGGTACCGGGACAGATACTCTATCAACTTTCTTGTCCGGCTTCTTCAGTGACTTGGCCAATTCCTGCTCCTCCAATTCAGCCAGACGGCGCGCCTCCGCCTTCTTAGCAGCAGCCTCCGCTCGTTTCTCCGCTTCTTCCTCACGTTTCTTAGCAGCGCGAGACTTTGATCCCTCGGCTTCGCGCCAATATTGATCTTCCTTCTCCCGTTCCTCACGATCCTTCCGTTCAGATTCGACCGCGGTCTTCCGGGCCCTAGATGCCTCGGCCTTACTGTTCACACCCATCTTCTTAGGCATGTTTACAACTTTCTCGATCTTCAGATGAAATCTTGCAGCAACTTCAGACGTGCTGGTTGAGGATCAATTGGGATTTGGGAATTTTTATCAGAATTTTAAAGTATAAATAAATTTACAAAAAAGACTTGCCAATAAAGGTATGAGTTTTTTATAAGAATATTACTAAAATAAAACATATTTATATAAATATAACTATTCATTACTATAATGTAGTGTTGTGGTAACGAAAGCTCAAAACTTGAACATGAATTACTATGATTTCATTACTACTCTAGTCATTAATCATACTTTTGTAAATCATCTTTATTTTGATCATATTTTTGTAATTATTTCTAAAGGTATACTCCCTCTGTCCCCTTTTAAATGTCCCGTTTTACCATATTGGGATGTCCCTATTTAATTGCCTCATACCTTATTTGGTAAACTTTGTGTGGCTCAAAATCATTCTTACTTTATTCTTACTTTATCAATTAATATCAACCACACAAACTCACTATTCTTAAAACTCGTGCCACCATCTCCCGTCTCATTTAAAAGGGGACGGAGGGAGTATGACTTTTCTAAAAAAAAAAAAGGTACTCCGTATATGACTATCGTGATCATTTCTTAGTAAAAGTGTACACTGTACTCCGTATTTATCATAGGGGTTTTGTCATTAATATTACTAAAAATTGGGTAGTTGGCAAAAAAATTGTGGAGTACATTAGGTTTAAATTTTCGAAAATGTGACAAAAGCATAGTTACATCTTTAATCTCTACTGTAGTGACAAATGTATAGTCACATCCCTCTAGTGACACAGTAATTCCGGCAATCGTGACTCCGGTCACCGTGACATCATCATAGTAACACAGTGACTCAGGCCATAGTGACATCATCCCAGTGACACTAACATAGTGACGTCGGCGACTGTGACTCCGCCACAGTGACATCAGCCGCCGTGACTCTAGCCACAGTAACATCAACCGCCGTGACTCCGCCACAGTGACATCAGCCGCCGTGACTCCAGCCACAGTAACTCGCCAATGATGGTGTAATACTTGAGATTACTTTAAAGGGACTAATAGTACTACTCATACCAACAGATGTGCGTCTCCTTTTAAGGGAGCTCATCACCTAAGAACTCCAATTTAAGCGTGCTTAACTTAGAATAACCACCTCAAGTCCTGCGGGGCCGGTTGTTACAAGTGGTCCAGAGCAACCCTGTGACAGTGTGCTCCATTGCATATCGGGCGGACACTTAGCGGGGAAGATTCTTAGACTTCATTGAGATTTGTTTATAGGCGCAACGAGAACGTTGTGTTCCTAAGTGAGGGTGATTACAATACTTGATATTAATTTAAAGAGACTAATAATACTACTCATACCACTCCCCGCCATCGCGGGTACACTACCTCATTGATCGAGTTTCGTAAGAGAGTTAGTACGTTGAGCTTACGGGATTATAGTAGGTTGGGGTTCAATACCCCAACAATCACATATTTTTTTAAAAAAGAATTACTTTAAATGGACTAATAGTATTACCCATACCACTAATAATATGTTGCGTTCATAAGTGGGGTGATTGTAATACTTGAGATTAATTTAAAGGGACTAATAGTACTTCTCGTACCAATCCCGGAAGATCTAAAGTATTGCAAAGGTAATATTTATACACGGAAACTTTGTTATCGAGGATATACTATTTCCGCTCAAAATTGTGTTATTTCTTGATGATGATTGGTTGTGGGAAGTTGCCCCAAGCTGGGACAGTCTCTTCACTGCGCTCATCCTTCCCCAAGAATGAAGAAAGAATGTAATGGAGTTAAATCCAACTACGAGAGCTAAATATACATACATATGAGAATAATATGGCAGCGTAAGGCAGTTTTACTCTTTATTCCGGAGAACTAGCAATAGTCTAGCCTCGGTTTAGAATTTTATCGGGGGTCCGATCCCTTTGATAGGGTGTTTACATCGAGTATTTATAGAGATTAGAAGGTAGAATTATGGGAGGAATCTAATACAACAAATGCTCAATTAATGAACTGTATGTATTCTTGTTTGAAATAGAACTCTTCGATCTTGATCTCCACACGATTACCTTCTCCTTTTAGTCACCGTCCTCCGGATGAGTCCTGCATGTTGCCAATTATCTATCACCGAGTGATAGCTCGCCACGTAAGCCCTAGGAATATCCCGGCTTCACTAGAACTCCGCCCAGGCTCGAGGTCTGCTGTCCAGCCCGGCCTAGCTATGGGTTCCTATCGTGGGCCTAATTCATAATGGGCTAAGCGGCTTTTAATCATGAATCCCGTTTATGGGCTGATCCTGTTATTAGGCTAATCTCGTTAAGCGCTGATCCTGTTTATGGGCTAATCCTGTAATTAGGCTCATCCCATTAAGGGATGATCCCGTTTATGGGCTAGACTACGTAATTGAGCCATGGTCTGAATCCATGGTACCATCAGAATGAAATAAGACTAAGAAAATATCATAATAAGAAAAAATGAAAGAGAATGGGAGATGGGCCAACCCTCGCAAGGGAAAGAGAAAGAAAAACGTAAAGAACAAATGGAACATGAAAAAAATACAATTATCAGCAAAAAATAGTCACCTTCAGGTATATTGGTCTAGGTGATGTTTTCTCGAGTAAACATGTTTATGTGATGATTTTTTTAGTACATGAGTCAAAGTGATGGGTTTACAATTGTAAAAGAACTTATTTGACCATTTTTCATTAAAAAAAAACAACAAGAATCAAGTTAATATCCAATTCGCTATACTATTAATATTGTAGTTTTGGTCATTGACTCTACTTTCTTTATCAAGTTTAATCCTATGTTGTTTTTCTAGAAAAAAATGTCAAAATGTTAACTTTACACCTCTAGAAGACAAAAATGTAACTAGTTTTTTTTTTTTTCAAATATGTGATTGTTGGGGTATTGAACCCCAACCTACTATATAATCCCGGAAGCTCAACGTCTTACTCTCTTATGAAATCCGATCAATGAGGCCCACTTGACTCATTTGAACTATGTTAGCCCATTTATGCTCATTTTGGCCTTCCAGAGTTCCAGCCTATTAAGGTAGCTTTTGCACCTCTTCACATTTTCCTATTTATAGGAGGTTTTCCCTTCATTTCAAGGATCCGATCTCTTCTTCTTCACTAGTTTTTTTGCTGGAAAAACGCATCACAACCAAAACAAAAACAACATCCAGAACGTGGGAAATAAATAAAAAAAATAAAGAGAGTAAATAAGTTTATCGACTAAAAGAGTCGTGATTAGCATCAGGTCATCTGGCGGGGATGGAGACCAGCCCCCGCTACCGCCCCATTTTTTGGGGAATCCAACGCCATAGCATCATGTGCAGCATTCTCCCTAGCCTGATCCGCCCAAGTTCTCCTCCTCTTCAGCTAACCTGGCACTCCTTCCACTTCTATCCCATCTGAGAGCATAGCATTCCCTGTTCCCGCTTTGGTACTCCCTTCTGTCTCTTCCAGTTCCGCGTCCTGCACTGACCTCGTGATATTTGGTGAGTATGTGCCATCACCAGAGGAGCTCCCTTCCGAAATCAGCCATTTGTTACCCATGCTCGGCCTCGATTTCCTTCCACTCGCTCTAAGCCATGGTCCAAAAGGTCTAGTCATAGCTTGCCCCTCTTTTTCGTACAGAAGAGGGCAGAACTTCTCTGCATGTCCAATCACACCACAACAAAAGCAAAAACTCGGCAGCTTTTCATACTTAAAGTCTACCCAATAAACTTCTCCCTTACTCTTCCTTAGCATGGTCCCAATTTTTAACGTTTTACCTGTGTTCATACGGACTCTCACACGCATATAATTTTCCTTTTTTTTATCAACTTTTTGCTCATCCCAAGTGATAAATTCCCCTAAATGATTCTCAATCCTCCTTTTCGTTCCCAAATTATCAAAACTGTACGGCACATTATGAACCTGTACCCAGATCTCAAATTCATCTAGCAACATCTTACTCGGGATATCACCCGGTTGAACAACTTTTAACACAATCAAATTCTGATCAAACAACCAGGGTCCATTATCCAGGACACGATTCATATCAACATAATGGAAAATTTTAAACAGATACCTTCGTTCACCGATCTCTTGTATAGATATACCTTTGTTCGGACGCCATAGATCAACCATGAAACCCCTGAAGAATGGAAATCGAATGACCTTGTCCGTAAGAACCGTCCCGATCACCGGAAATTCCTTTGCCTTTGCTGCCACAATCGCCAATTCCCCTTCCTCTTCATCGTCAATCAGCAGTTCATCCTAAAAACCCCCAATTCCCAACCCTCCATACTTAGCAGTGAGCTGCCCTACCCGTTCTTTTTCCTTTTCTGTTAAATGTCACACACCGGAAACATTTGGATGAACAAAATGTTATATTAACACATGGACTCCTCCTCCTATCAGGTTGACCTTTTAGGATGGAACCCCAGGTCTTAACATGGTATCAGATCCAAATCGATCCATGGTGTGGGGCCCCTTATGAAAAATGTTAAATGTCCCACACTGGAAACATTTGGATGAACAAAGTGCTATATTAACACATGGATTACTCCTCCTATCAGGTTGACCTTTTAGGATGGAACCCCAGGTCTTAAAATGTTCACAATCCTCCCTTCATCCATCAGCAACTGCGTTTTCCATCTCCCTGCCGCACCAGTCGACCAAGACTCGCTCCTCGTGACTACCGATCGACAAATGCCCAGCGCTGCACTAATGACGGCGAATTCTCTCGCCCCTCAGCTCTCACGAGCTAGGGTTGTTGGAATTAGTTTAAAAAACAAATATATACATATTTATATTTATTTCATGCATTCTTCATTCTACAAAAAAAACTGATAGGAAGACGTACTGAGTTCAGCAAAAAAGGACAAGCACAAGCCATGGAATATGGAAGTTCGGATCCAGTATTTCCAAATCTGGGTTGGGGTCACAGGAGCCTCAGTCACCATCCTTGTTGCATCATGCACCGCTGAAACTCGCCTACCCCATTTCCAGGTCTCGCTGTCGTAGAGCTGCCGCCGCGCACCGTGGGCAGAGGTTTTCCGTCGCTGCTCCAGGTTAGGAAGTTGTGGCCATCGAGTAGCCTCTATCTGTTCCATCTCATTTCTGTTCTGGCGAC